TGCTTAACGCTACGCTGCGCTACCAACCCGGCGAACCCAGTTCGATTCCCGCTCACGGCCACCACCGGTGACGATTATTTGAACCTCCCCTAAGTCGACTCTGCCTCAAACGACTAACTGCTGTAGCGTATTAACATCGCCACTGGGGAGACAAAGGCGGCCGGCCGTGGTAGATACAAGTCCCGGGCGAAGCCGGGTAGTACAGCTAGTATTCTATATTGATATCACCGCTAGAGCCAGGTCCAGGGGTTGGGTTCGCCAACAAGTGACTCTGGGCCACGTGACCCATGTAACCAAGTTGGGCCAGCTCAAAATGGCTACGTGGTGCCATCCTGTGCACCAAACATCCGCAGGATGAAGGGTAAGTGACGGGTACGATGCCAGTATGGCAGGGAGAGAGATAGTCTCAGGCGGACTAGACCTTGGCAATGGACACTCACAGCTCTGTATGGAGCAAAAGTCCAGGCATCTTCCACACAGTGTTACACAGTCTAATGAAAGAATGCTGCTTGACTAATTTTAAGTGAGACTTTGGCTGCCAAACCAGAGCTGGTCATGAACACATTAACCAGGTATGGGAGCTCCTCCAACACTTGTAGAACTGCCTAATTATTCATGGAGAGTTGAGCAGGTGCCGTGTTGTATGACATGAAATTCCCAGGCAGGTGATTTATTTTTGTGGAACATTTGCAAGGCCCCATTTCATGATGGAATTATCAAGCCACAGAACAAGATTCCCTAATTCCATCTCATTGAGTAGCCATTACCATATCTATAACCAGGCTTCATACTCTTAGTTCTTTCGGTAAAGTCACGTAGGTAAAAAATGAAATTAATAAAAATAAAACAATAAAAATCACGACGTTTCGGAGGCAACACAAGTCTCCATCATCAGGTGGGACCGTCACAGCCAGATTTGCTGCATCAAGTGAGGCAAGGATTCAAGATGTAATCCCTTAAATGCAAGTTGAGGGGGGAGGGATTACATCTTGAATCCTTGCCTCACTTGATGCAGCAAATCTGGCTGTGACGGTCCCACCTGATGACGGAGACTTGTGTTGCCTCCGAAACGTCGTGATTTTTATTGTTTTATTTTTATTAATTTCATTTTTTACCTACGTGACTTTACCGAAAGAACTAAGAGTATGAATCATTGCAGTCACGAAAGCTTCAGATCTAGAACTATAACCAGGCATCGTTTAGCATATCATTGTAACCATAACAAATGCAATGGTTTTAATATGACAATTGGGAGCTTCTCAAACTACATAGTTATTGAAGATGCTATGAAATAAGAATAGGGTTTCCCCTCTTTTCTGGCAACAAAACAGGTGTTAAGATGTTAAAACACCAAACTGAAACCTTTTACAAGGAATCATGTCTGCATTAACCACAATACTTGTGGTCAGAATGCAAACAAAAAACATACTCTGATAATATATGCATTGTCTTTGAGACTGATTGGTCCACAACAGAGACAGCTTTCTTTGGAGCCTGGTCTCAAAAGGTGTTAGACCAGAGGACGCCAAAAGGCGTAGAGCACAAAGACAAGCACTATCAGAGTAATGAGAGCTCAGGGTGAGCATCTACATCATGGGAACTCCTTTGTGTCTTCACTGCACTGCTATATTTGTTCTCATATTTACCACGTGATCCTTCCCTATTATCAGCCCTGCGTTTTTGACGCCAAATTCATCCACTTCCGGCTCCTTACTGTCCTCTCTGCACGTGCATGGCTCACCTCTAACACACTGCAATATTAATGAAAAATATATTTACATCTACGTATCAACACTACCGAACTCCTTCTGCACAATAGATGCTATACAACAGCTACAACTAAATACATAAAGTCTACATCGCCTGGTAAGGAATAAAAGTGTGCAAATACACGCACTAGCGTTAAAATAATAATATATTTACACACACCACCACACACATACTATTAATACCCACATCATCAAGCACCACCAACAATTACTTCGTTCCTTTACGGCTATGTCTTCACATTCCTACAACGATTACACATTCAACTATCATTTCCTTAACAATATATATAGCATTCACGCACACACTATTTACTCTTTTTTATGCTTATTAACTTTGACCTCCATCTATAATGTTCCTCGCGAAAAACGTGCACTTTTCTTCACCAAAACCGATTACAATAAATTATGCCATTCGTGCAAGTGCTGCAATGGCTTTACCTAGAGCTAATGAAACTCCTTAACACTAAGTTAGACAGCATGCTGCCTGTACTGCACCTACAGCTAATTATTATCCTGAACACTAAGACGCAAGAGCATGTTGCCATGACTGCACCTATTGATAATAAAATGACACTCCTGAACACCAAGAAGCAGACGGCATGCTACCAGTGCTATGCTTGCACCTACAGCGAATGCAACTCCTCAACAGCAATGAGCTGCACTGAAAAACATCACAGCACACATGGCTGCTGCCACAGCTAATCCAACTCCAGGCCACCAACAAGCAAGGCAGATTGAAAACAGCACGACAATGGCTGCAACCAGGTGCATACCCTGCAGCCAAAAGGAAAAGTTTTTCTTTTCCACACATTCCTCACCTAATTTACACTTCTGATCCATAAATTGCCATTGGTTCCATGTCTACTTCTTGCAGCTACTTCCATGCAATTACATGGAAAGAAGACCCTCCAGGGCTATACTGCAACTGTACCATGTTCTTTGTGTCTTTCGGTAAAGTCACGTAGATAGGTTCAAAGAAAATAACAAAAAACTACCGACGTTTCGATCGCAACACAAGCAGTCGTCATCAGGAAAAGGGGTTAGCCTCAAAAGGCAAACTGTTTATAAAGGTTTGGAGATGCACGTAGCCCAAGTGTATCAGCAGCATCAGCAGCAAAGGCGTGGCAACAATGCGAATGCAGCAGCAATGTCTATGCAGCATGTTAATGTAAGATCGGTGAATGGCCTCTCCGGCGAGCGCACTAAGGTGGCTATGTTAATGTGAGAGATTCGCTTGTTAATGAATGAACGCAGAGCTGCCGCCACGTCTAGGTTACTGCGCTAAGGTGGCTGTGTTAGTGTGAGAAATTTAACTTGTTAATGTAAAATCGGAGAGCTGAAAATAACAGTGAACATCGGAAGGTGGTAGGATGGGAACATCACATCCAGTTATGAATTAAACTGGTTGATAACGTCCTTCCAATGATTAAGTTTGTACCCATCTTGGATGGTTTCATGAACGAATCTTTGTTGATAGCTAGTGGGTTTGCAAAATACCTTCGTCTTAAAGAAATCAATTTCGCATGAGCCCACCGCATTAAAACAATGATCAGCCACAGCCGAAGTATTGGTCCTACCATGTTTCAGATCTGCCTTATGTTCACAAACACGGTCCGAGACATGTCGCTTACTTTCCCCAATGTAACTACTGCTGCAGACACAGCTTAGTTTGTAGACGCCAGGGTATTCCATGTCATGGATCACATCCCAATGAATATTAATTCCTGCAGTCACGAAAGTTTTAAGTCAAGATTTAACTGTACCATGGTTCAGCTGCCTACAATTAATGACCATCTCGAGCCTATTCATGTATTGATATATGCCAACACTACCTATGCAAGCCAATTCCAAAACAACAATAGAAGATAGAACTCATGCTTCAAAATGACATGTTTTGGCACCAACCAACTCATCCTGACATCTGGCTAAATACCCTCCACAAAAATGTAACACCACAATCCTATGATGCTCTTTAATGTCTACTGATTTTTTGGCACGGTGATGATGGCTACAATTTCCTACTTCACCAAACTGACCCAGCAACAGGCTTGCCAACACAAAATAAGCTTTCCGCCTTGGACTTCTTTGCTTTCAGGATCATGGTGCGAAACGGCAGCTTCAATCTCTTCTTGAGATGCTCTTCCACCAATTTGCTGTCGACATATATGCCAAAATTGAAGCTTCATTAGATTAAACCCACCAGATGGAAAACATCCAACATTGTTTATCCTGAAGCTCTCTACGCGCAGCACATTTAAAAGCTGTCCTCATTATGAAACAAAGCGCCGCGATTGTATAACACAAAAAAAACCCGTAACAATATATACACATTTACAGACTTCATTGGCAGAATTCAATCATTCTAATAAAGCCAGCATTACTCTTAATGTTTCATAACTGAGACCTGTGCGAAGCCGGATAACTTAGTTATTACTGAATACAAACTATACTTCCGAGGATGTGTGTGCATGAGTGGGGAGCTTTTAGTGCAAAGGTTAGTGTGCTGCGCTATAAGCCCAGCGACCTGATTTATAGTCCCACAGAGCCAAGCCACATTTGGCTGTCGCCTGATGAAGCTGGCTTTAATTACTGACAAAACGTCGTACTCAGATTGTAAATGTTGTGGCTTGACTCTACAATACACAACCGGTGTGCTGTACTGGTGAAGAATTGGCCACCTTCTGATTACGTGACAAACCTTACGAGTCGGCTGTGGTGGCGGGTTTCATGACACCTTGAAATATTTACGCGATCTAACCCAAAAAACCTGTATTACGGATGTATATTTGGAGTTTGCGTGTCTCTCTCCCCATGGTCGCGTTTAGAGTCAACATCACCACGCGTTTAGAGTATTTGACCGATACCCATTTCCACGCGTTGATAAGCCACTTTGTTGTGGGCAGGTCGCTTCTGAAAAAGAGCGGTATAGCTCAAGTGGGCTTGGCATGGTTAAATAAAAAAACTCTAGAAATATTTAAAGTAAAAAAAAGTTTCAAAGTAGCGAACCAGGTGAAGACAAATTAAACTTAAGCAGAGAATTAAAGCAAATGCAATCAGGCGAGGGCAGGAGGCTAGGCCCAGCGTTGTAATGTTCCAACCTGGACATCGATTCCATACTCGCTGCTACTCAATTGATATCCCGACACGAGAGAGAGAAGGAGCAAGGCTCGACCTCGGTAAACAACAACAACCACCACAACAACAACAACCACCACGATGTGAAATTCTCACCTCGGATCTCAGTGAGAGCGCGCGGTGCAGCAGCTTCCTCGTATTTCGTGACGTACCGTGGCAGCAGGAGGTGACATGACGTCACTTGCGGGGTTCAACACACAATCCCCTCCCCCAACGAGCAGCGGTGTAACTGAATAAATTATGTTAATGAGCCGGGACAATGCCGGGTGATGGGGCTTGGCTGCTGAACCAGTCGCAATGAACTCGCGACGGTATCTATGAATAGCTTTGCCCAAATAAGGATTTTTACTGGAACGGAAATCGACAGTGACCAAGCAGACGTGACGTCACGCTCAAAATCGCGGTGTCGGGGGGCTTGGGGAATGAATACCTTGGTGACATGACGTCCCTAGCAGGTTACACCTCCCCTTGGCGTCTCACGCCGATGAGGTAATGCGGAGTGGTGACGTCTGAGCGAGAGAGCGCGGGGTTTGAGTTTAATACTCTTAGTTCTTTCGGTAAAGTCACGTAGGTAAAAAAATTAATTAAAATTAATAAAAATAAAACAATAAAATCACGATGTTTCGGAGGCAACACAAGTCTCTGTCATCATCACTTGATGCAGCAAATCTGGCTGTGACGGTCCCACCTGATGACGGAGACTTGTGTTGCCTCCGAAACGTCGTGATTTTATTGTTTTATTTTTATTAACTTTAATTTCATTTTTTTCCTACGTGACTTTACCGAAAGAACTAAGAGTATGAATCCTTGCAGTCACGAAAGCTTCAAATCTAGAGTTTGAGTTTAAGTTTATTTAGATTCCTTTTCCATTGCTCCCTCTCTTGAGCAGAGACCCCTTGAGTGCTTGAGCTCAACAACAACAACGTGAAGATTAGTGTGTGTGTACATTGTGTGTGTGTGTACAAACTGTGTGTGTCTATGTGGAGTGCTGAACTTTACGTGGACAACTTCTTGCTTTTCTGTCGTCACTTTATTTCTACTAACGCAGCACATTTCAGTATCATTCTCCTGCGCATTCTCCGCTCGTTAGCCACGCTTCGCCGACTTTGCTCGCTCTGCTCTGCCGTCTCTCCCGACTCTCCTCTCCACTCCTCCGTCACAGCCCAGCCGCTCTCTCGGGGTCTCTCCGTCTCACTCCAGCCGCTCTCTCGCTGCTTCTCTGTCTCACTCCAGCCGCTCTCTTGCGGCTTCTCCGTCTCACTCCAGCTGCTCTCTCGCGGTCTCTCCGTCTCACTCCAGCCGCTCTCTCGCGGCTTCTCCGTCTCACTCCAGCTGCTCTCTCGCGGCTTCTCCGTCTCACTCCAGCTGCTCTCTCCCGGCTTCTCCGTCTCACTCCAGCCGCTCTCTTGCGGCTTCTCCGTCTCACTCCAGCCGCTCTCTTGCGGCTTCTCCGTCTCACTCCAGCCGCTCTCTTGCGGCTTCTCCGTCTCACTCCAGCCGCTCTCTCGCGGCTTCTCCGTCTCACTCTAGCCGCTCTCTCGCGGCTTCTCCGTCTCACTCCAGCCGCTCTCTTGCGGCTTCTCCGTCTCACTCCAGCCGCTTCACTATACTTCGATTTAAAGCTTTCATGACTGCAGGGATTCATCTTCTTGGTTCTTTCGGTAAAGTCACGTAGAATGAAAATAATAAAATAATAAAAATAAAACATAATAAAATAATTCTCACGACGTTTCGGCCACAACGCAAGCAGCCGTCCTCAGGTGAAGAATGAAACTTCTTCCTGTACTCCACTGCTACTCTATACTTCTTCCCTTACTCCACTGCTACTCTATACTTCTTCCCTTACTCCACTGCTACTCTATACTTCTTCCGTTACTCCGTGTCTTCAGCTCCGACCGTGTGCATCCACTCCCAGGCACGACCCCACTCCAATTCCCTCAACTCCAAAACTCCCCTGTATTTATCCCCGACCCTATTAATTCCCAATTAATTAGTTGGCATCCCCCCGATGCCCCTCGCCCCCAGCCCCCGCTGCTACCTGTCTCCATTTCCAGACTTGGAGGCGCCACTTCACACCCAACAGCAATGTACACTTGACATATGTACACTTGGCACAGGTGGTGCAGCGGCCAGTCATCTCAGTCGACCCATGGCACCTGCTGGGTCTGCCCCATGACCTCCTGTCGGCGGGCGTTCGACACTTCACGTGGCCTTAACGTGCACATAGCCTGGCTCAAGCGCCTTGGTGACGTCACCGCCACTTAGTGGCGAATGGCGGTTGTTGTTGTGTATACACTCTGCACTCTGTATGTGCAGATTGTGTGTACACTGTGCGGGTATGCTGCGTGTGTGTACGCTCTGTGTGTGTATGCTGTGTGTGTACATTGTGTGTACACAACACATTTATACACCGTGTGTGGGTCGTCCCGATCAGGCGGGCGACATTATCTTTTCGTCAACTGCACAATGCTGTGTGGAAGCTACCTGGTCTGTCGCTCCACACAGAGCTTCAGTTCTTCTCTGCCACAGTCATACCCACCCTTCTACAGGCATGTGAAATGTGGACTCCTCTAATTGGAACATCTGCGCTGGTTGAAACATTCAGGCTGGCATGCCGACATTCAGATTGAGGGAAGCCAAGTGGTAGTGCATTCTCTATTTATTGCAGAGGTTTAAGGTTCCAAATCCGACGGGCATGCCTGGTTATTCCAGTAACATTACCCAAAATATGCACAGTCTGCTTAACAGTGGATGTAAAACATACTATTGTGTCATTCAAAACGCATCGGTCATTGCATGTTGGTGTCATTGTCAACATTTGGGTAATTGCAAATGTTATCCAGAAATAACATGATGAAGCTTACAAATCAATTATCGCCCCTTACTGACAGACTCATGCCCCATGCAGGCTGGTGCACAGTCACCTGACGCCCTACAGGAGCAGCTGCCACTTGTGGGCGCTCTTCGAGTGTTTGTGATGAGATACGATTTTTTAAAAACTCCAGAGTTGCTGAGGCAATTAAGCAAGCACCATACACATGCAAATATTATTAATTTAAACATAGCAAATGCTTGCGAGCTTATTGGCTCTTGCTCCTGATTAGACATCTACCCAACCCACAGGTCCAAAAATACTGGCCACTCTTACTCTGCAGGTTGACCCTAGGAATAAAGTTTTCAACTTCATATCCTTTTCATTAAAGGCCTGTGACAAAGATCAATCTATTGGAGATTCATTGTCTCAAGCTTGCACATCTATCGGATCTCCACTTGACTTTGTATTGTCTCAAGAAGTCCACTCACACCTCCACATCCACCAACTGATGGGAGTTGCCTCGCTCTGCCTCAGAGTAAGAATTATCCTCCTGCTTCAAGTTGCCTCCATCGATCTTCACATTTAACCTTCCCTTCTTCGCTATTCACTGTCACTTCACATTTCACTTTTGCCTCTTCATATTTCACCTTAATATTCATATTCTTAGGTTTTTTCGGTAAAGTCACGTAGGTAAAACATCAAAATTAATAAAAAATAAAATAAAATTAATTATTAATTTTGATGTTTTGATGTTTTACCTACGTGACTTTACCGGAAAAAACCTAAGAATATGAATCATTGCAGTCACGAAAGCTTCAAATCTAGAATTTCACCTTAATATCTTTCAAAGTCTTCTTGGTTATTTCGGTAAAGTCACGTAGAAGGGAAGTAATAAAATAATAAAAATAAAACATAATAAAATAATTCTCACGACGTTTCGGCCACAACGCAAGCAGCCGTCCTCAGGTGAAAACCAGGTCTGTCGAGGCGACAGCGTCTGAATGAAACAGCACACGAGCTTGGAGCATATATATAAGCTGGGTTGGAAGGGGGGGAAAGGGCGCCTTGACAAAAGAATTTGCATATGAAGAGGAAATTAGCATATTTATGGCAAATGCAGGAATGTGATTAGTATTACATATGCCCGTGCATTATGCAGGACTAGCAGCATCAAAGGGAGGAGGTATAGGAAATGAAGGTATGTGAATAGTACTAATTATGCCCGTGCATTATGCAGGATTAGCAGCATCAAAGGGAGGGGTAGCATTAAAAAAGGGAAGGAGTGTTAATAGTATGTAGCTGCAGTAACTAAAACCAACACGTAAACAACTAAAGTATAAACTACATAGTATCATCAGTATACTAACTATACTCTACAATAAGCTGAGTTACTAACAGGAGTGGTAGTGTAGCGGTTAGCGCACTGACCCGAGTTCGATTCCCGCTCACGGTCAACACCCAGTGACTCAGGCTCAAATGAATACCTGGTGCGGTGTGTAAACATCGCCACTGGGGAGACAAAGGTGGCCGGGCGTGGTGTTAGCCATCCACCCCCTCGTGTGTTGTTGGCCTTCATAGGTGCTCGCTAACAACACTTGCCCCAAGTCTGTTAAGGCTATATGGGGGATCTTTGTGTACACTGTATGTTGGCATAGTAGGCGGGCGTTCGACACTTCAAGTGGCCTTAACGTACACATAGCCTGGCACAAGCGCCGTGGTGACGTATACTCTAAGTGCAGATTGTGGGTACACATTGTGCACACAATACATGTCTACACAGTGTGTTGTGTGGTCCGAATCAGTCAGGCAGGATTATCTTTTCATCAGCTGCGCAATGCTGTGTGGAAGCTACCTGTTCAATCGCTCCGCACGAAGCTTCGGGTCTTGTCGGCCAGTCATGCCCTCCCTTCGAAAGGCATGTGAAACGTGGACTTCTCTAAATGGAACATCTGCGCCGGTTAAAACATTCACGCTGGCATGCCTACACTCAGATTGAGGGAAACCAAGTGGTAGCGCATTCTCTTTTTATTGCAGAGAATCAAGGTACAAATCCGACAGGCACCCCTGGCTACTCCATTAACATCAACCAAAATATGCACCGTCTGCTGAACAGTGGATGTAAATCATACTATTGTGTCATTCAAAACGCATAGGTCATTGCATGTTGGTGTCAGTCAAAATTTGGATAATTCAAAATAGTATCCAGAAATTACATGACAGAGATTACACATCAATTATCAGTTAGGTATGGTTTTGGACACACCACCACCTTTTTACCATGCCAATGTGTGACAGTGTCAAGTTTGTATTTTCAGTAATGTATATTAACTGTTGAACATGGAGGTTAAATCAAAAGAATAGTTTATTTTAG